AAGGGATACTATTAAAAGAAACAATCTATGCATTATTGGAGTCCCAGAGGGAAAAAGGAGCAGAAAGCTTATTTAAAGAAATAATGGCAAAGAACTTCCCAAATCTAGGGAGAGATTTGTACATCTTAGTTAATGAAGCTAACAGGTCACCCCAAAATTTCAACCCAAAATGATCTTCTCCAAGACACGAAGAGTAGACGTTTCATTGGTGAAATGTGTCTGTTTTTATGCCAATACCATACTGTTTTGATTACTATAGCTTTGTGATATAGTTTGAAATCAGGAAGCCTGATGCCTCTAGCTCTATTCTTTCTTAAGACTGCTTTGGCTATTCAGGGTCTTTTGTGGTTCCATACAAATTTTAGGATTGTTTGTTCCACTTCCGTGAAAAATGCCATTGGAATTTTGATAAGGATTATATTGAATCTGCAGATTGCTTTGAGTAGTATGGACATTTTAACAATATTAATTCTTTGAATCCATGAGAATACAATATCTTTCCATTTATTTGTGTCTTCTTCAATTTCATTCATCAATGTCTTATAGTTTTCAGTGCACAGGTCTTTCACCTCCTTGGTTAAATTTATTCCTACGTATTTCTTTTTGATGAATTTTAAATAGGATTGTTTTATTTCTCTTTTTGATAGTCCATTATTAATGTAGAGAAACTCAACTGATTTTTGTATATTGATTTTGTATCTTGCAGCTTTCCTGAATTTGTTTACTATTTCCAACAGTTTTTTGGTGGAGTCTTTAGGGTTTCCTATATATAGTATCATGTTACGTGCAAATAAAGACAGTTTTCTCTCCTTTCCAATCCGGATGACTTTTCTTTCCTTTTCGTGCCTAATTGCTCTGCCTAGGACTTCCAATACTACGTTGAACAAAAGTGGTGAGAGTGGGCATTCTTGTTCATCTTAGAGGAAAATCTTTCAGCTTTTCACTATTGAGTATGTTGTTAGCTGTGGGCTTGTCATATATGGCCTTTGTTATGTTGAGATATGTTCCCTCTATACCTACTTCGTTAAGAGGTTTTTTTTTTTTTAAAGATTTTATTTTTTCCTTTTTCTCTCCAAAGCCCCCCAGTGCATCGTTGTATATTCTTCGTTGTGAGTCCTTCTAGTTGTGGCATGTGGGACGCTGCCTCAGCGTGGTTTGATGAGCAGTGCCATGTCCGCACCGAGGATTCGAACCAACGAAACACTGGGCCACCTACAGCGGAGCGTGCGAACTTAACCACTCGGCCACGGGGCCACGGGGCCAGCCCCAAGAGGTTTTTTTAATCATAAATAAATGTGGAATTTTGTCAAATGCTTTTTCTGCATCTATTGAGATGACCATGTGATGTTTATTCATTTTATTAATGAGGTGTATCTTACTGACTGATTTGCAGATGTTGAACCATCCTTGCATCCCCAGAGTAAATCCCACATAAATACATATGTGCTGTCATTACTGTTTCTTCATATCAATGCCTGGCAGTGACTGAGTCTGCAGACCCGTCGTTCCTTAAGCCTTGCCCTTAGTTGTTTGTCTCAGTAAAGCCTGGTAGTTCAGTAGCTGCAAACAAAACTTCTTCCTACCATTTGGGAAGTTACCACTTTTATTGGCAGATATAATTTTGAGGTCAATAAACTTCTTAAAACTAAGCTTGGATTGCATCTTGGAGAGGCAGAAGGGAGGCGAGCTGCCCGCCCCCACCCCACCCCAGCCGAAGGACCAGCACACTGGCAGCAGCCACCATGGTGACCCAGTTCAGTCATACTGACACAGACACTGGCAGCCACCATTGGAGTCCCTCCTCCAGCCTACTGTATGATCCTTTCAAAGTATTGTTGAATTTGGTTTGCTAATAATTTTGTTGAGAATTTCTGCATCTATGTTCATCAAGGATATTGGCTTGTAATTTTCTTTTCTTGCAGGGTCCTTGTCTGGTTTTGTTAGCAGGGTAACGCTGGCCTCATAAAATGAGTTTCCCCACCTTTACATGCATTTACTGGGAGTGCCTTCCACTTGCTGATATGGAAGCAGCCCTCAAGGTCAATGTCTTGTTCAGCTGCCTCCAATAAAGCCATCCCTGGTCACACCACCAGCAGGGAATTACTCACTTCTTGAACTCTTATAGGCACTTTCTACTCTTCTTATAGGAACCACAGCACCCCAGAATTTGGCGTTAATGAGCCTCAGTGGCAGAAAATCAAGGAATCTCAGGGTTGGAAGGAGAACCACCCTTCTGATCCTCGAATGTCTTTCAACCATCTGTGCATCCCTGCTAAGTGGAGAATTGCTACCTTTCCATACAGCCCATTTCATCTCTGGACATCTGTTAGAACATTCTTCCAGAGACTGCAATAAAAACCCAACTCAGCCTTCATTCAGGCCTTGGGGGCCTTGAAAAAAGTTCAACTTCCTCATAATGCCCAGGGCAGCCCCCTGAGATCTAACCCAGCCACACGGCAATCTGGAGTCTGCTCCACTCCTGGCTGTGGTTTTCATTTGCTCATTGTTGACTGAGTGAGTCCTAGGTTGAGCTCTGAGTAGGTGGTGAGTTGAATGTTGGCTGCAAAAAGAACTGCGTATGTGTTAGGGAGTGAGGGAGGATAGGGTACTGGAGAGCATGAGGACGTAGAAATGGCACTGATCATGAACTTGGAGGCAAGGTTTGATCCTGCTCTGCCACATCTGGGCTTTAGTCAGCTCATTCTACCTCTTTGCCGCATAGACGGATCTCCATCTAAGTCACTCAGACATTATACAACAGCTACGTCACCACCTTCTAATCCCAGCAACCTCAAGCCTAGACTAGAAGCCTCATTCTTAAGAAACGGGCACAGTGGCATCATGGTGGGGTGGGGAGAAACCAGAGCAAGTGTCACTAGACCTCCGACCCTTTCCATGAGGATAGGAGCCCTATCTTATTTATCCCAGCATCCCCCCAGCGTTCCAGCACAGTTCAGCCTGATGGTTGGCGTTCAACAATGTCTGTCTGCTCTTCACTCAACTAACATTTACCGCAGACTGACTCAGTGGGGCACTTTGCTAGGTGCTGGGGACAGACAGATGAACAGTGCACAGTCCCTGCCTTCAAAGTTTTCCTATCAAGACAGAGAAGTAGAGAAACACACATATGAAAATAATACAATGTGATAGGCCATCTAACAATTAGAAGGGCTAACAGTTAGATAGCACTTCACAGCGAACATTTTCACATATATCACCTCATTCCATCCTCCAAACCACCCTATGAGACAGGTAGCATCTTTTACCTGTTTCTCATGAGGAAATGGGGTAGAGGCCTGGAATTCAAACCCTAATTGTCTTTCAAACTCTAATATCTCAGACGTTCTGGCTCCACCCTCCAGTCTAGGCAGCTCCCCACTGTGCCCTCTAACTGTAGATCCCTGCCCCTGCCAGCTCTACCTTCCTTGGAGCCTGTATTTCCCTTAAGGAGTGACGAGTCATGATTCAAGGACAATATACTCTATGGGCTCTTTCCTGGAGGGGACAGATTAGGCCCCTTGCCCAGCTCCCAGAGGGGTACAAGCTGGTTCTGGGGGACAGAGATGGCAGTAATGCCACACGTACCTGGGGCATAGCTCAGCACCCTCACCGTTGGTTCTTCTGCGGCCAGGACCCGGAACATCATGTTACGGGCAGCCTTCCCTGCACAGTACAGGGTCCAGCCCTTGAAGGGCTGCAGGGCACAGAGGGATGAGATGTTAACCACGGTCCTGCTGAGACCAGGACTGTCCGGGAAGGCCTTCAGGATGCCAGAAGTCAGGCAGAGCATGGAGGTCAGGTTCAGAGCCCAGTAGTTGTTCATTTCAGTTGAGTCGGCTAGGTCCACGAAGCCTTTGGACACATCCCCAAGACTGCCTGAAAAACCAGACCCTGGGTATCACCCAGTGCAAGCGGGTCTTTCTCTCCCCTCCAGACCTCTCCAAATCCCTCCACACGTCCCCGTCCCATCGGGATCTCGAGGAGTCTCCCTAGTGCTTCTGAAGACGCCTCCCTCTTTCCCGCTTTGCAGACATACACACGTGGGGAATCCACTCACCCCAAGATGCAGACTGAGAAGAGGCATGCCCCACTCTGAGACTGGGAGAGAATTCGGGGGTCCATTTGGAGAAGCGGGGGAATTTACTTCTGCTGGGAGACCCTTGCCCTGACTCAGGCCTCCGCCAGAGGGCGCCGAGAAAGGCGATCGGGAAGGTTGACGCGCGTTTTGGAAAACCTGGCCTTGAAACCGGGAGGAGTTAAGGGAAGGGGCTGAGGCTTCCTCCACACCTCGCTGAAACCACTAGGACGTTCAGGCGTCTTCTTTGACTCTTAGGTCTTTCTGCCCATTACAGTTTCCAGCGGTGGGGGAAGTGACACGGAGGAAGAACAGAAAGGGACGCTAAGTAGTATTCCAAGAGCTCGCCCGGGGAGTGCGCCCCGTGCCGGCGGGCGTCTTACCCACGTTGTTGATGAGCAGCACTCGCTGCAGCCCCTCGGGCCTGGGGAGCTCGCGCAGGGTGCCGAGAAGCTGCTGCAAGCCGGCCTCGGCGCCCAGGTCGGCGGGCACGCGCACCACGCGCAGGCCGGGCCGCGCGGCGCCCAGCTCGGCCTCCAGCTGCCGCAGCGCCTCGTCGTTGCGGGCGCTTATCACCAGCACGGAGCTGGGCGACAGCAGCCGGGCCAGGAGCGGGGCCAGCGCCCGGCCGAAGCCGCGGGAGGCCCCAGTGAGCACGCACAAGGCGCGCCCCAGGCCGCCCTCCATGCCACCGCCTGGCTCCATGCTTCCGCCCTCCGCCCGCTGGGTCCGGGACGCCGGACCCGCCGGGGCGGCCGCGGTGGGAGGGGCCGCCCCCAGGGGCGGGGCAGGAACCCAGGCTCAGCGCTGTGGCCGCCGGCCGGGAGCTTGTTTCTCTTGGCTTCGGGTGGCAGAAGTGGAGGCTCCAGCGCGGTCCGAAGGGCTAAACCCAAAGGGCGGGAGGCGCGGTCCGCGCCGGAAATCCCAGCTCAGTTCCGAGCGCGGCCTCCTTCTTCGCCCAGCCCTCCTGCACGTTCAGTCCCGCGCTGGAACGCGTTCTTCTCCCAAGTCCAGACCCCACTTCCTTGCACAAGTGACCTTCTCCAGGTTAGGCCATCTTGCTCCGTGCTGGTATCCCTGTACGTGGCCAGCAAAAGCCCTGAATGAAGCGCATGCCACTTTAGGGCTTGGGAAACTCTCTGCCCTCCGGGTAACAGAAGCTGCCTCCTCCAAGTGATGTAAAAACCTCTTCTCTCTTACTAGGCTCTGAGCAACTGGGTGCTCGCGCCCAGGTTCCCCTGCCTTCTGAGATTTCTGACTCCTCCCTCCATAAAGGTCTGTGTTCCCCAGGATTCTGGACCCACTCATGCTACACTCTTCTAGTAGGCAATTTCATCTCCTCCCAGCTTCACGTTTATGCAGCTGATCGCGTAAGTCTGAACTTCCTGGCCTGTGCTTCAGAAAACTCACATTTCTGTTTTTTTCAAGGAGAGAGGGAAGATGGGAAAGTTGGCAGACAGCTACAAATCTCCTTAAAAAGGAGTCTCTTCAGAATTTAGCAAGAGCGGTGAGTAACCTCCGATAACTCGGCCCAAACCTTCTCAGGGCTTTCCCTACCCTGGGGATAGACAGCAAAGTGGCCTTTCAAGGCTCCTGGAAAACTGCATTTTGCTTCCTTGTGCTGTAGGCTATCATTACCAACATGAAAACAATTTGGGGAGCTTTCCTCTTGTTAACATAGGTGCCTTTGCCGCAAACTTTTTGTGAAATGTGCAGTTCAGACATGGGACATATTCTAAGGCAGAATGAAACTTCAAAGAAACCTTAAACTTCATTTAGTAGATTTATTGTTAATATGCATAGTATTTTGAAACTATTTTATATAAAGTAGGACAAAGAAAAGAATTATGCTAATGTTGTTTGGAGCCAAGATTTACAGTATTAGAGAAAAGAGACCGAGTATAAATTCAAAGAAGGGAAAAGTCTGTAAAATTGAATTCAAACTGGAAGCCAGAAAATCGTAGAGTTTGTTGCAGTTACTTTTACTTTTATACAATAATACCAAAGACACATTCTTCTCTTCCCTGTGCGTTGGTTCTCCTATGCCTACAGCTAGGCTTTCTAAGAGTGCTCCTGCAACAAAGGCAGAGATTAAAGTGGTGCCCAGATCAAGTCCACAGTAGCATTTTGATTGGCCCAAATAGGCTTTTTTTTTCTTTTTAAATTTGAGGTGACATTTCTAAAGTGGGAGAATTTCCAGCTTCTTTTGAATGATGGGAAGGTCTGGCAAACTGGGTTCTGGTTGAGGTGAGCCATGGCGCCTCTCAGGAAGGAGACTGTGGCTCCATTGTGCCGTCACCCTCACCACTCGCAGGTGTAGGCATTTGCGTCTCCCACTCTTGATACATAGCTGAATTCTTAGCCGGTGCTGATGGTCAAAACATTTCACAGCGGGCGGCAGGTGGCGTAGTGGTTAAGCTTGCAGGCTCTGCTTAGCAGCCAGCTTTGCAGGTCGGGATCCCAGGCATGGACATACACACTGCTCATCAAGCCATGCTGTGGTGGCATCCCACATACAAAATAGAGGAAGATCAGTACAGGTGTTAGCTCAGGGCCAATCTTCCTCACCTTAAAAAAAAAAACATTTGGCAGCCAGGACACCAACCAATCAGAACAGATCCAGGCCACTGTGCAGAGTGATTGTGGAAAGGTGAGTCTGGGGAGGGGTGAGGAGGCTTTTGATGTGCTAACACAGGGAGGACTCTGTGTCTATGTGTAAACCGTTGAAGCTGCCCTGCTTTTCACTTATCTATTAATGATGGCAGATAAAGATCATGAACCTGATTGCTCCAAAGCTAAACTCTCCTGAACTGGAGACAGTGTACTCTTTAAATAATTTTTAATAGCTTCTTGCTCTCCAGGCCTCAAAAAGCAGGTTGGTGAAAGCACAATCTCCTCCATCCATTCCTTTGACATTTAGTGAATTTCTACCACGTGCCAGGGTTGGAAGAAGGGCGGAGCGATGAAGGGATGGTTAAAAATCAGACCTAGCCTCATCTAAATCTGCCTCTGGAGGAGCTGCTGGGAACAAACAACCCCAAGGAGACTGTGTTGGCTTGGACTGCGAGACAGCCTGGGAAGCCCCTGCTTTCTGAGGAAGACTGTTGTCTGCCCCACACCTCCCGCCACTGCCAGTCTTATTTCGAGTAATATTTCGGTAATTTGCAAGTAATATTTCAAGGGCAACACAGCCCATAGAATTCCTTTAACAATATCACAATGGTCCCCAAATTTGCCTGCACGTTGGAGTCACTGAGGAACTTCAAAAACACATGGCTGTGTCCCACAGGCCCGGACTTGGAATTTTTAAAAGATCCCCACGTGATTCTAATGTGCAAATGAGTTTGGGAACTACTGCAAGAGCAATTGGCAGGAATATTGGCTTTAAAGGTGCAAATTCCTGGGGCTGGCCCCGTGGCCGAGTGGTTAAGTTCGCGCGCTCCGCTGCAGGCGGCCCAGTGTTTCGTTGGTTCGAATCCTGGGCGCGGACATGGCACTGCTCATTAAACCACGCTGAGGCAGCGTCCCACATGCCACAACTAGAAGGACCCACAATGAAGAATCTACAACTATGTACCGGGGGGCTTTGGGGAGAAAAAGGAAAAAATAAAATCTTTAAAAAAAAAAAGGTGCAAATTCCTGAGAGATGAGATATGTTAAAGTAAATTAAAAGCCTAAACCTGATAAAAGACATTAGTAGAAAAACTGGTGAAATTCGAAGAGCTGTAGGTGAGTTACTGGCATTGTATCATTTCCTGATTTTGCCCATTGAACCATTGTTCTGTAAGAAAATGTCCTTGTCTTTGGAAATACACTGAAGTATTTAGAGGTAAAGGGACATCTAATCTGCGACTTACTCTCAAATGTTTCAGGAAAAAAATAGAATGAATACAGCAAGTGTGATAAAATGTTAGCATTTGGGACATCTGGGTTAAAGGTGTACAGGAATTCTTAATACTATTTTTGCAACTTTTTAGAACCATATTTACAGCTCAATAATAAAAAGATGAATAACCCATTTAAAAAGTGGGTAAAGGATCTGAATAGATATTTCTCCAAAGATAAACCAGTGGTCAATAGGAACATGAAGAGAAGCTTAACATCATTGGATATCAGGGAAATGCAAATCAAAACCACAATGAGATATCACTTCACACCCACTAGGATGGCTATTATCAAAAAGACAGATGATAACAAGTGTTGGCAAGGATATCGTCTTAGTCTGTTTGGGCTGTGATTACAAAATAGCACAGACAGGGTAGCTTATAAACAACAGAAATTTATTTCTCAGTCTGGAAGCTGCAAGTCAGAGATCAGGCTGCCAGCGTGGTGAGGTGAGGGCCCTCTTCCAGGTGGATGACTTCTTGTCGTATCTTCACATGGTGGTAGGATGGAGGGATCTCTCTGGAACCTCTTCTTTAAGGACACCAATCCCATTCCTGAGGGCTCTGCCCTCATGACCTAATCACTCCCAAAAACCCCACCTCCTAATACCATCATACTGGGCATTAGGATTTAACATGTGACTTCTGGGGGGACACAAATACTCAGACCCTAGCAGAGATAGAGAAATTGGAACACTCATGCACTGTTGGTGGGAATGGAATGGTACAGCTCCTTTGGAAAAGAGTCTGGCAACTCATCAAAAAGTTAAAGAGTTACAATTAGACCCAGCAATTCCACTCCTAGATATACACCCAAGTAAAAAGAAAATGTATGTCCACACAAAAGCTTGTGCATGAATGCTTACAGCAGCATTATTTATGAGGCAAAAAGTGAAACAACCTGTGTGTACATTATTTGATAAATGGTAAGTGCAGTGTGGCATATCCTTGGAATATTATTCGGCAATAACTGAATGAACTTGCAAATATTATGCTAAGTGAAAGAAGCTGGACACACAGGTCACATATTATGTGATTCCATTTATATGAAATGTCCAGAATAGGCAAATCTATAGAGATAAAAAAAAAGTATCTTAGTGTTTGCGTAGGGCTGGGACTGGGGAGTGACTGCTAATGGATATGGGGTTTCTTTTGGGGGTGATGAAAACTTGTAAAATTGATTATGATGATGGTTGCACAACTCTGTGAATATACTAAAAATCCTTGAATTGTACACTTTAAATAAGTGAATTCTATGGTATTTGAGTTATATCTCAAGAAAGCTGGTATTAAAAAAATAAATAGTGAACTCTAGTTTAAAAAAACTTGCTGAATCATTTAGGGTTGAAGTGTAATGCTGTCTGCAACTTATTTTGAAATACATTAAAAGAAAAAAGATGGATTAATGAGTGGATAAAGGGGTGGATAGAGGTGATAAAGCAAATATAACAAAATGTTACTTATACAATCTAGATGGTGGATATATGTGTGTTCACTACACAATCCTTCAAATTCTCTCTATATTTACATTTTTTATGATAAAATCTTGGGGAAAAATGAATTAGAAATATCAGCATAAACTGAGAATCCACCCTCTCCCCCAAATAAATGCTTTTTAGCTGCATCCACTGGAAAGGTTTATTTATTTATTTATTTGGAAATGTTTAAAAGCAATGACAATCCAATGGCAAAGAACACCCTTATAATACCAGATTGTGGTCTCTAAATACCATTCTCCATTAAAAGAAACCAGGGTTTCCTAGAGAAATGGCTGATTCCAAGTCTGGGGAAGAAATATACAAGATGAGCCCTGAATATCTTGCCTTATGCAAGAAAACAAGGAAGCCATAAAAAATTAATGAGGTCATGCAAAAGGACACAGGAGCCAATATGAAGGGGTTGCCATTGGCCAAAGATGGAAGAATTTTTAAAAACTTCTTAAAGGAAATAGTACTATGTACCCACATGTACCCATCACCTAACTTGAACAATTAACATTTGTCATTCTTGTTTCATTTATCCCCTTCATTTTGATGGAATATTTTTAAACAAATCAAATAAGGTACAATTTGAGCTTCACAAAAGGAGAGACTGCAATTGGTTGAAACACGTTGAATATATAAAAGCTAATGAATTCATAACAATACTCAAAAAATGAAACACATTGGTCACCATTGGAGGTAACTAGGACACCAACCCATTACCCTGAAAATTGACAATTTAAAAGGAAAGAATTAAGCATTCGTCCTGTGCCTTTTGTTATGGTATTTTAGGGGTAACCAATTTGTCTTAGTTGGTGTGGAATAGTTTATAGAAAAATTTCAACTAATAAATGTAGAAGAAATAAGACAATGAAAAATATCACCAACCCATAGTGAAATAACTGATCAAGGCAAAGATAATCAATGAAAAACCTATTAGATGATAAATTATGAGGAAATTTACAATGGAGGGATTGGGCTGTTACAATCTGAACTCATTTGTTAATTTCAGTATCTTTAAGAGTGGTTTTCCCACTTTTAAGTGGAAATGTGCTTTGAAGGTAATATGTGCCTTCTGATGTGAAACATAAAGTCCACAGCGATAGTTACAGAGTGTTTTGAGGGAGAAATTGAAGAATCAATTAAGAAAGCATAAGACTCCAGAATGTGAAACTTTCTGCAGAACGTTGATCAGTTTCTTTGAGTCAATGGTATGAAAAAAAGGTGGAAGGGACTGCTTTATATTAAAAAGACATATTAGCTGAATTCAAAATATGGGTCTTGTTTGGATCTTAATTCAAATAAACCAACATAAAAATACCCTTTTGAGATAATTGAGGAAATTTCAATATGGACTGGTACTACATGATGTCAATTATTTATTGCTAATTTTTTAGGTTTAGTAATGGTATTTGGTTATGTAAGAAAATGATTAAATTTTTAGACAGAGTAAAGTGACATGAAGTCTGGGATTTGCTTTAGAATACTTAAGTAAAGAAGAAGGAGGAAGAGGAAGGGGGAGGAGAGAGAAAACAGGGATATATAAAGGAAGGGTGGTAAAATCTTGATAATTATGGAATTATTGAATCTGGATTATGAGTATACTGAAGTCCACTATATTATTCCCTCTTTGTTGTGTATGTTTGGAAATTTTTATGATAAAAAAAATTTTTTAAGCCCAGGACACTGGTAAAAGTACTGGAACATTCTACACTTCAGAAGACCTGAATTCTACATTTAGAATTCAGACCTAAAAAGGTTAGAACAATTCTATACTCCAACTAATAGCATATAAGCATGTCCATTTCAGCATATTAATTTTCTTTCAGCTCTTTAGGTTTTAGTAAGGTTGTGTATTTTTATTTCTTCTGTGAGCTATTTGCTCATGCTCTTTGCCCACTTTTCTATTAGACTTCCTATTTCTATGCTTCTTTTTGGCTTCTTTTCATTTATTTTTTTTCTTTACTCAAGTTTTCTTTGTTCCATTTACTTTTTTCCCTATTGATTTGGAAGTTACATATTTTATTTTTAGTCTACCAATGGTTACTTTTGAAATAAAGTTATAAATGTGTGAACTTTTATTTTTCCATCCATATTAAAAAGGAAACATTACATTTTGAGGGAAACTATATGACTGAATTTTGGAGGAAAACAGGTCTGGTTGGAATCCTGGCTCCACCTCTTACTTATGCAACCTTAGCTAGGTCACTTAACGTCTTTCAACCTTGGTTACTTTATAGGCTTGTTTATTCAACATTGTGCAAATACTTGATGAGTGCCTAGCGTGAACCAGGAAATGGGCTAGGCTCCGGAGATATAACAGTGAGCAGCTCAGATAATCCCTGTGTTCACAGAGGGTGGAATAAAGCAGCTCAATATAGCACTTAGTACATTGTTTTCTAATTCAATAAATAGATATTATTATTATTATTACATCTCCATATTATGAGAGATTTAGCACATTTTAATTCCTTCCTTCACGTATTCCCAGGCATTAGAAGTCTGATGTTGCTCTCTTTTTTATTTTGTAGGTGACCCATTTTGTTGCTGACTGGGTCCATACAGGATTATTTACGTATGCTTGAAACTTCAAAAGTCTACCTGATGTGTCTAGGTGTGGGTCTCAGTTTTATCATTTATTAATTGATTACGCAAAGATTTATTGAGCATGTACCATGTTTTCACAGTAATTTCGTGGGCCCTTTTGTCATGAAGACTCGAGTCTTTCTTTAGTTTAGGGACATCTTTCTATAATTTATTTCATTATAGTCTCTTCCAGTGGAATTTTCACAGTTAGTTTATTTGATCTCCTGGATCTGTTTCCAAGTCTTGTATATTTTTGTTTACCATCATATTAATCTCTTTACCCTTTTCATACAAATTCCATAAATATTGCTTGAGCCAGTCTTTTAAATCTCTGTAGTATCAATCTGTAAGTCATTGTCTCCGTAGGTTTACCACGTTGATTGCAGGGCTCCAGATGGCTGTAAGGTACAGGCAGGGAGCTCTGTTTAGCAGGCAAGTGTGGAGCCCTCATGAATGGTATTAGTGCCCTTATAAGAAGAAACACAAGATCTTGTTCGCACTCTGTGCCATGTGAGGTACAATGAAAAGATGGCTGTCTGCAAACTAGGGAGAGGGCTGTTCCTGGACACTAGATGTACTGGCACTTTGATCTTGGCCTTCCCAGCCTCCAGAACTGTGAGAAATAAATGTTTGATGTTTTAGCCACACAGACTATGGTAATTTCTTATACAGCCTGAACTGACTAAGACAAAGGCTAAAGGTTTATTTTCTGGAAAGGGAGAAACACAATATCTTTTGGCCAGAGAATACCAAGTACAGCTGAGGGCATGAATACCCTACCAAATGCGGGGGAGGAGAGGACGCAGGGGCAGGTGAGCAAATGATACCTAATGCCAGAACCACCAGCCTGTTTCCCTCACTGAGTCCTGAGAATGATGGCAGCCATGCCTTGATCCTTCAGACCACAGATTGGAAGAAACTTCCTTGGGGAGCCTGACCACCCCGAGAGAGAAGACCTAACATCAGGACTTCACCAACAGATGGCCTAACCAGATCACCTTATAAGGAAGTTCAAAGTCAACAAGCTCCATTCACTGACTGAGGGCTTTCAAATAACTGTTTAGTCCTCCCACCCTAAATATAACATATTCTATGAATAAAACAAGAACAAGATATTAGAAAAAAGAATACCTAGAGAACAAAAAAGTTGGAAATTAAAAATCTGATAGCAGAATTGTTATGAAAATTAATAGACTGGTTGAAAGATAAATTTGAGAACATTTTCAGATGGTAGAGCAAAAAAGATAAAATAAGGCAAAAGGAAAGCAAGAGTGTTAGTGGACCAGTCCAGGAGATCCAAAATCTGAATGATAGGAGCACTAAAAAGAGAGAGAGAGAAGGGAAAAGAAAAGAAAATGGGAGCAGGGGGAAGAAGGAGGGAAATTATCAATGAAATAATTCAAGAAACATGTCCAGAATTGAAGGGCATGAATTTCCAGATTGAAAAGGTCCACTGAGTACCCCGCAAATGGGATGAGAATAAGCCCATGGCAAGGCTTACCATTGTAAATTTTGAACAACAGAGATAAAGGAAAGATTCTACAAGTCTCCCGAGAGGGAGAGGTAAAAATAAGGAAAAAGATCATATGAAAACAAAGGATTATAATCAGAAAGTCTTTGGACTTCTGGACAGCCACCCTAGAAATTCTGAAGGAAAATGATTTCTAACCTTGAACTGTATCCCCACACAAGCCGTTAATCATAAATGAAGGTAGAATAAAATGCCTTTCCCGATATACAAGTCTCAAAATATTTCTCTTACATATTCTATGTCAGGAAGTTTCTTGAGTATGTTCTCCACTAAAATAAGATCAACCAAAAAAGAAAAAGTCATGGGATATAGACAAGAGGAGATAAAACACAAGAGAGGAACTCCCATGGTAACGGTTGGATTACTTGGGAGCAGATTAAACTCCTGCAACAGGAAGACCTTAAAATATGGTGGCTCAAGTAAGACGGAAGTGCATTTCTCTCCGTCAGAAGTAGATGTGCTCTCCTGAAAAGGTAGGTGGCTCTTTCCTGTGAGATTTCCAGGGTCCCAAATTATTCTATCTTGTTGCTTGACCATCAACTAGGATGTTGTCCTCGTCTACATGGTCCAATCTGGCTCACCAGCATGCCATCTACATTTCAGTCTTCAGGAAGATGAGGGCAAGCAGCTCCACTCATGTCCCATTAGCCAGAATTGATCACATGGCGTATTTGATGGGAAGGTTGGCAGTCAAGTGCTCCTGAACTGGGATACGGAAAGTGAGCATTCCTTCCCTGCAGCAACACTCCAAATTCAGCAAAATATTGCTGGACAGCTCCTGCCCCTCAGTGGCTTGAGGAAAAAAGAAATCAGCTCCAGTCCCTCTGCCAGACCACGCTTGTCATTGCTCCTCCATAGTCACTTTTCTTTTTTGTCCCCTTTGACCTAGGATTCCCTAATAGTTTGTCACTGGGTGATAGCTGCTGTATGTGCATCCTTTGATTTCATTCATTCATGTAGCTATGCATTTGTTCAATGACTATTGAGAGCCGACCAAGCATCAGGCTTCCAAGACACCACGTCCACACTGCATATAGGTGCTGGAGATATATCAGCTTAAAAAACAGGCAAAAACTCCTGTCTTCCTGAGGCTTACATTCTTGCAGGGAAAAACAGACCCCCAAAACAAAGTAACACCTGTAGTATGTTGGATGGTGATAAGCTTCAAAGGAAAATAAAACAAGGATGGTAAATATGGAGTGCTGGGGAGGAGGGTGCTTGCAATTTAATGTAAGGTGACCAGAGAATGCCACACTGAAAGCACAATATTTGAGAAGAAAACTGTAGGAGGTGAGAGAGTGACCCATGCAGATAGAGGAGGAATATTTCAGGCAGAGAAATCAGCAGGTGCAAAGGCTCTGACGTGCGAGTGTGCCTGGTTTGTCTGAAGAACAGGAAAAGGCCAGGGTAGTGTCAGTCATGTTAGAAAGTAGAGAGAATTTGGAGAGGAGAAATCATGGAAGAGCAGATTTGTATAGGGCCTCGTAGGCCATTGTAGGACTTTTCCTTTTATTAAGAAAAAGGAAAGCACTGGAGGGATCTAAGCCTAAGGGATCTGCATGGACTTAGGATCATTCTTTAGAATAAATTGGAGAAGCAGGAAGATCAATGAGGAGGTTACTTCTGTAATATAGATGAGAGATTATGGGAGTTTGGACCAGGGTGGTGGCAGGGAAAATGATGAGACTTGATTCATTTGGGGATATATTTTGAAGAGAAAGGGAAAAGGATTTGCTGAGGAAGTGGATTTGGGGTATACAAAAAAGGAAATAATAGATGGTGACCCCAAGTCTTTGCACCTGAGCAACTGGGAGGTAGAATTGCCATTTCCTGAGATGGAGAAGGCTACAGAAGGAACAGGATTCTTTGGAGGGCGATCAAGAGTTCAGTTTGGGAGATGTTAAGTTGAGATGCCTATTAGATATCCAAGAGGAGACGTCAAGTGATGGATATAAGTTTGGAATAAAGAGGGGACTTCTGCACTGATGGTATAAATTTGAGAGTTCTCAGCAGATAGATAGTTTTTTAAAGCCTCAAAACAGGAGGAGCTCACTTGGGGAGTGAATGTAGATGGAGGAGAGAAGAAGTTGGGGAGATAAGGAGGAACCACAAAAGGAGACAGAGTTAGGGTTGCCAGGTAAAATAAAGGTGCCCAGTTAAATTTTAATTTCAGATAAAAAATGAGTAATTTTTTAGTGTATAATTACCTCATGCAATATTTGACACATATTTATACAAAAATTATTTGTTATCTTAAATTAAAATTTAAATGGGGATCCTGTATTTTTGTTTGCTAAATCTGACATCCCTGGACTGAGATGTGACCATGGAGGTAGGAGGGAAATCAGGAGAGTATGATGTCTTAGAAGTCTAGTCGGGGAGGAATGTATGCTTGATATATCACAGGCTCCTGATGGGTCAAGTAGATAGAGAACCGGTGACTGGATTTAACAACATAGAAGTCTTTGATGGCCTTCACGTGAGAAGTTTCAGTGGAATGATGGATGCAAAAGTTTAATTGAAGTAAGTTCAAGAGAGAATAGAGGACAAGAATTAAAAATGCCAAGGACAGAATGTGTAGATTATCTAAACCCTGCTCCCCATCCAGTCCTGCTATTGTTGAATCTTCATCTCAGATCTACAGTTCAAATGCAGAATGTCCATAGCTCACAGGATCACTCCACGTTTCCCTGTTTGTAAGAAGTTTTCTCCTGTATGGATCTGTTTGGTTGTGGAGCACGTTATCCTCCTGCCACTGCCTGATTCTCTGAATCGATGGGGTTTCTATCCCTACTTACCATACTCTCTGCAGGGGCCCCACTCCCCAGATTAGAAGATGTTAGTGTCAGTTTCCCTGAGAATTATAGGTTACCATCAATATAATCAGCTTAACAATGTCAATAATACAAATGAGGCATGTGATTTACAATTATCATGGACATCTGAATATTCACTTCAAATACGAATAATCATGCAAGATTTAACTTGGAATGGAAATATTCATTATGTGCTTTATATGTTGATATTTTGTTACACTTTGATGTATTTTTGCAAGAGTAAAATTCTGAGGTAATTAATGATGACTGTAAAGGCTGTTAATTTTAAATATCAAAACAATTGTTAAGAGATTTCAAGTAAATAGGAGGAATAAACTAAGTTAATACAACATTAAGAAAGTGTGTAAGAGGGGCCGGCCCGGTGGCGCAGCAGTTAAGTTTGCACGTCCACTCCGGCCCGGGGATCCCAGGTGCGGACATGGCACTGCTTGGCAAGCCATGCTCTGGCAGACATCCCACATATAAAGTAGAGGAAGATGGGCACGGATGTTAGCTCAGGGCTAATCTTTCTCAAAAAAAAAAAAAAAAAACGAAAGTGTGTAAGATAGATAATTTAGGGATAAAATTGTATCCCTTTTGATCCAATAAGTGTTTATTAAAAATGTAAGTAATAATACATGCAAAATAATAGAGATTACAACTGAAAACTGCTACAAACTAAGAAAATTCTGGGGGCCAACCCAGTGGTGCAGCGGTTAAGTTTGCACGTTCCGCCTTGTCGGCCCGGGGTTTGCCGGTTTGGATCTGGATGTGGACCTACGCACCACTTGTCAAGCCATGCTGTGGCAGGCGTCCCACATATAAAGTGGAGGAAGATGGGCATAGATGTTAGCTCAGGGCCAGTCTTCCTCAGCAAAAACAGGAGGATTGGCAGCAGATGTTAGCTCAGGGCTAATCTTCCTCAAAAAAAAAAAAAAAAGAACGAAAGAAAATTCTGTAAGGTCAGTGGTATAAAATAAATATTCTGAAATCAGTTTTCATAGTTAAATGATAATAAGTTAGAAGACATAAATAGAAGGCCATATGTAATAGGTGCATAAAAGACAGAATACATAGGTATAAATTTGAACAAGAAATGTGCAAAACCTATATAAGGAAAACTAAGACTTTCCCAAAGAACACAAAAGTAGACCTGAATGGAAAAGTACAAAATGTTCTCTAACAGGAAGATTCATCAGAAAGATGTTAATTCTCCCTAAATAAGTGAAATATTTTTAATAGAATCTCAATAACAATACCAACCAAACATTTTTTTTCTGACTGAAACAAGGTAGAATAGTTAGAAACAATGTA